GGTTCATTAATGGGTTGCTAACCCTTTCTTATGATTAATGGTTTGGCCAACATTTAATTATTAGTTGTATCATTCGTTTATTATTTGAATAGTTATCATTCGTTTATTATTTGAATTGTTATCATTCGTTTATTATTCGAATTGTTATCATTCTTTATCCGAATTGTACCATTCGTTTATTGTTATTATTTGAATTGACATCATTCGTTTATTATTATTATTCGAATTGACATCATTCGTTTATTATTCGAATTGTTATCATCATTCGTTTATCATTCGAATTGACATCATTCGTTTATCATTCGAATCGGCGTCATTCGTTTATCATTCGAATTGACATCATTTGTTTATTATTTGAATTGTTATCATCATTCGTTTATCATTCAAATTGACATCATTCGTTTATTATTTGAATTTTTATCATCATTCGTTTATCATTCAAATGGACATCATTCGTTTATTATTATTATTCGAATTGACATCATTCGTTTATCATTCGAATTGACATCATTCGTTTACCATTCGAATTGACATCATCATTTGAATTGTTATCATCATTCATTTATTATTTGAATTGTTATCATTTGTTTATTATTCGAATTGTGTATCATTCGTTTATCATTCGAATTGACATCATTCGTTTATTATTATTATTCGAATTGACATCATTCGTTTATCATTATTATTCGAATTGACATCATTCGTTTATCATTTGAATTGACATCATTCGTTTATTATTATTATTCGAATTATCATCATTCGTTTATTATTCGAATTGACATCATTCGTTTATTAAATATTTGTTTTGCTTGAATTATTCATTTTATTATTTGAATTTTTTATTCAAACTATTTGTTTATTCGTTTTATTCGTTTATTCAAATTATTCGAATTATTATTATTCATTTATTTTATTTTATTTGTTTATTGTTTATTTGAATTAGTTTTATTTGAATTATCAAATTATCGAATTATTATTTATTCATTTTATTCATAATGAGTAAAACAAATAATTTGAA